TGTGTTAGCTTGGTGATAATAGCTGCTATGGAATCTATGGTTTATTTGTATTTTTTTAAAAATATTTTTGGGTGTCAACTCGAAGACAATCTATCTTAACAAGAAGCAAGCAATACTTCTCATTTTACATTATTTTGCTTGTTTCCATTCATTCCCAAACTCATTCATTATTTTAAGATAGAATTATTTGGTCATCCCATTACTTTGATTCTTGCAGGTCATGTCAACCACTCGATTTTCTGGAAGAATCTGACTCCTGTTAGTGTAAGTTCATATTTCCATCTATCTGTCTTACAAGCCTTTTTTTAAGCCTTCATCTGCCTAATACCGCAATGATTTGTTCACGGCAGCATGGAGGTGGTGAGCCCCCTCATGGTTCCCTGGGCTGGGCTATTGACACAAATTTTGGTTCTATGGAAGCATTAGTGCAAAAGATCAATGCAGAAGGCGCTGCTTTGCAGGGTTCTGGATGGGTGGTAAGTTTTGCATATTGTTGATTTTTCCAACATTTGTTTCATGTCATTTGACTAGATGCTTCAGTCAAAATTCAGTATGTTCACCTACTTCTTTGATCTTTCTTGGCAGTGGCTGGCTCTAGACAAAGAGTCGAAGAAACTTGTGGTTGAAACCACTGCAAATCAGGTAAACCTCACAAGATTTACTTTAAACCCATCTCTACATCTACTAGTATAGTTTTTCGCACTATGTGTGCTTAACAGTAAGTCAAGCCATATTCAAATTGCATAACTCCATCCTGCCTGTTGACTGATGCCCTCTCACTATGATGTAGTTTAGACTCCTGATGAATTGTACAATTAGCCCCTTATGGTCCTTCTTCTTTCCGGTAATCATGTATGCTTGAGAACTGTTTGTTGTTGACTTATCATGGTTAGAATTACTCTAAGAAGTTTAGGTGTAACGTTGTGTTGAAGATTTGTTGCTTTTATGTTACCCCATCTTTTAAGGATTGTTCAAAATTCAAATATTAAAGATTTTAGGATCTGCAAAGGTTGCTGTTCTGGAACACTTTGTATAACCTTCTTTTGATTTATTCTTTTAGGACTCATAACAGTTGACTGATGTGCAGCACACACACGTGGTGCTTCTATTTCATCAGAATATTTGTAAATCTGATTAATTTTGTTTCAGGACCCATTGGTTACCAAAGGACCAACTTTAGTTCCATTGCTTGGTATTGATGTTTGGGAGCATGCGTACTACTTACAGGTACGTTTAACTTGTGGAAATTTGCCTCTCCTAGATTTTCTTAATAGTTCTGTCTTCCTTATGTTACAAAGATAAATGATGCAAAAGTATAGGGCTTTATGCATACAGCTGTTGAAAACTTTCAATTATTCTCCTTTGGGGCATCAGTTTATAACTAGTGAGTCTAAGAGGGGTGTTAAAACTGTCTTTATGAAACAAGTCATTTTTGCTCATTGGAGTCGAATTATTTATGTGGGAAAGGTCATCCCGTGTGATGAAGTTTGCGTTTAGGTTTTATTCAGTTTTTTTTTTCCAATGATGTTCTGTATACAGCCTCCTTCATATGGGGGAAATTTTTTAATTAGCATCTTAAATAAATACTTTGAAGACTTCACACGAACTCATCGTTTATTCAATTTAAAATCAGCTTCGCTTACCACCAAGCCCAATGATGAAAGCTTATAAGATTTATTGTCAGTTCTATTTGCTCTTTTAGCAGTGGTTTTTGATCTGTGTGATTATTTTCCTGCTTTGCTCCTCATGTATCATGTGAGATGAATTAAGACATCTGTTTGTGGTTGCAGTATAAGAATGTGAGGCCAGATTATCTGAAGAACATATGGAAAGTAATCAACTGGAAGTATGCCGGCGAAGTGTACGAGAAAGAAAGCCCTTGAGGCTATGAGCAAATGAAGGGTGGCATTAGCAGCTGGTTGAGTTGATGAAATAAAATGATGTACGTGACAAATGAGGACCCCCCTTATTTAATCATCGGCATATCCCATCCCAATCCCATCCCTTGTATGAAATTGAGATAGTGTAAGAGTTATGTACTTATTTAATCACTGTTTGTTTCTTTTTTGGTTGTTCCACTGTTTGATCGTTTGATGCAATAAGTTATGTATGTAATTGGAGCTTTGTCTATTTTGCTGCCTGAAATAAGCTCTGTCGGCAACTTTTGCTTTGATTTTGAGGGGCTTGAGGGTAAGTAAAGTTGAGGCACTATTCAAATCGTTGCAATCCAACCATATTGAAATCTTATGGAAATAAAGAAGTTTGTCTTGAAAACCAGTGAGCAATCGATGATCTTTTCATATTGATACCAATGACTGTAAACAACTTAACAAGTTTTGAAGAAAATGCATTTCCTTTTGAAGAAAAAGTCAGGAAAAACTATTTTACATATGTTTAAGGCTATTTTAAAATGCTAGAAAAATAACCAAAAATCAAGAGCTCCGAAATTTCAAATTTTCAACCATAACAAACAATTATGGATCTTTAAATGTTAACAACCATGATTTTTGTTAGCTATTTGATCAAATAAAAACAAATTGTTTTATGTTTAGAAATAATTATAAAAAATCCTATATTTTTTTTGGTTGGAAAAAAAAACCCTATATTAATCTTATTTTTTATGCTCTCATCTCCAAACTGATACTGTTGGGCTTAAAAGGCGAAAACCAAAACCTTTGGGGAGGTAATTACAAATTTCCAACAAACGAAGGGGCGTTTTTTTTGGCTAGGGCGCCAGGCCACTCTCCCATATAAAACAGAAGCTTTCCCAAAACCACTCACTTTCTGGCTTGTGAGCAGCGAAAACCCTAGCTAGCCTGAGCCGACGACCCCGAAGCTCCAGATCTCGTCTCCCTCTCCTGGAAAATCATGGTCCGATCTTCACCCTCAACCCTATGTGTTCTCCATCTCTCTGTTCTCTGTTTTCTTTTTGCTTAATTATCGTTTTTTTGTTCTCTCTGCAGACTTTCAAGCGCCGAAATGGTGGTCGCAACAAGCACGGCCGTGGACACGTCAAGTTCATCCGCTGCTCTAACTGCGGCAAGTGCTGCCCTAAGGTATGCGTATATATACATACATACATACACGTCTGTGTATCTATACGTATATGCATCTTATAAATATGTGATTGATTGGTTTTGATTTCGTGTTGATGGTGAAATAGGACAAGGCCATCAAGAGGTTCTTGGTGAGGAACATTGTTGAGCAAGCTGCGGTTAGAGATGTCCAGGAAGCTTGTGTCTATGAGCGTAAGTTCCAGTTTTCCCTCATTTCTCTGTTTTCTCATTCATTTATCTCAGTAGTGAAAATGTAAATTGCATAGAGTGGTGAAAATTGCAAATTGCAAATAGATAAATATGTAAATGATTGTTTTTCGTTTGTGATATGTAGAATACACTCTGCCAAAATTGTATGCAAAGATGCAGTACTGCGTTTCCTGCGCAATTCACTCTCACGTTGTGAGGGTGCGATCTCGCACCAACAGGAGGAACCGCGAGCCACCACAGCGATTCATCAGACGCAGGGTAAGTTTCGCATTGATTCATTGCTTGTTCAGTTTTGTTATTCTCAAATCACATTGGGGCAATTTGCAATAGAGCCTAACAAAAATCTGTGTCCTTCCAACCTTTTTGTCAGAGATACCGATATTTGTTGATTACAATGGGATGAATGATAGAAAATCATGTAATCTCTAGGTTTTATCTTGACAAGCTTTTCTGAAACCTTTACATGTCGTTGGTTGATCTGGAACTATGTTTCGTTTCCTTACTGTCAAGTTCTCTTCAGTATACTTTTCTACAACCCTTTTTATGGTTCTTATGCAACATGGGTTTATCATATGTTTGATTTATGTGGCCATCTATTTTATGTTTGCTAGTCATTAAAAGGTTTGGTCATATCTTCTCTCCTTTTAGTCATGTCGAGTTGTATTCTTTATTTGTTAGTTTTCATTGTTTACTTTAAGGAAAATAGTAAAACATAACTTGATTTTGCCTGCTTACATATTCCTGTTTTGCACTTGGCACATGCACGTTAGCCCATGCCTATAGAGGGCCGACGGTATATCCTTAGCTTACCTGATATGCTGAAATTTTGATTTTCAGGATGATGCCCCAAGGCCTGGTCAGCCTGGCCAAGGTCCTCGACCTGCTGGTGCCCCTGTTCCTGCTCGTACTTGAAAAAGTATTTCAATCCTTTGATTATGTGATCGATGTTTCCCAGTAGCTACACAATTTTCTGGACTTGAGTTTTGTGTAGGAAGTTTTTGTGATTCCCATGCTATTTTCATACTTTTTTTTAAGGATAAAACTAATGTTATGGATGTTTTGATTTGATGATAATGCAAACCTTAGAATTTGTTATTATGGTTTTATTTCATGGTTTCTCATATAAAATTGGCCCTAAATATATAAGCTTGGTTTAGAGGCACCCAAATGTAGCAATTAAACCATGAGATGTGGTGTGGTGGTAGCTCACCTTATTCCTTAACCATGTGGTTGGGGGTTCGATCCCCGCCCATGGGAATGGAGCGCATTTCATGGCCAGCTGTTTACCTCCTTTGGAGAGCTCCCGCGGCGAAAGGGATTAGTCACTACTGTCGTCGGTGGACACCCTTGGATCTCATCCAAAAAAAAAATGTAGCAATTATCCCCGTTAGAGTGGTGCTCAACCTCCACTAACAGGTCTTAAGTCCCAAGACCCTGTTTCAAGTAAATGATTCCCAATTTTGAATAATATTGGTTGTTATAAAAAGGTCCTAGGTTCCAATTTTGTTTATGGCGGCAACCCATATGCACTTCTTCTATAGGGCTGACACTATAATTTTCAAGAAGAAAATTATTGCTTATGATTATTCAACTACAAGCAAAAGGCTTGAGAGTACTTACTTTCTCCTACGAACTGGTTCTTACACCTTGCTTGGAGGCATGGATGTGTGAATGCTTGTGACCATTGCTTTCTGTGGAAACTTGCGAGGGTTTCATGAGAGTTTCAAACATTGGTTATCATAGAATGTGTGAATTCATTACTCAATAGAAATCTTCTGAATCTCTCGAACGCCAACTGTTACATAAGTTATCGCCGTAAAGCCCACATTTCATGAGGAAGGGATTTGTAGTTGAAATGGTCAAGAGCATTTACTCTTTCATCTTCATGTGGTTCAAACCCCACCACCCCTCCTCTTTTCTTAATATAAAAACTTAAAAATTCCACATTCTAGCCTGATCAGAGCAGCAACGACACTTCTTCTCGAACATCAACACCTCCACGCTTAGTTGCTCGCTCGCTCGCACGCTACAAAATTGGATGCAACTTTTCTGGCCCCGTCTTCTGCTCTCCTGGTATTGGAAATCATTCAGCACTGGAGCACTGCTGAAGTTGCTTAGCAATTCTAATGCAACCTGCCATTGAACAGTTTGTCTTGATTGCGTTGGACTCAATGTGTGATCTACTCACAGCATATCCCTCCTGCACAGAATTTAACCCAGCAACAAGACTATTAGTCTTTGGTTCAATAACATTCATACCCAACAGCCCCCAAACTCCAAATGTCCAGCATGCACTCCAATAAGACACATACCCAGCAGCTCCTAGAACTCCAGTTGTCCACCATGCACTCATACCCAGCAGCTCCCAAAATTGACCAACATGCGCCCCACGCCCCCCAAACTCCCAACTGTTGGACATGCACTACTGACATGTGCCCTATTTTTGGTCCATTAGCTAATCCCAACAAAATGCTTTGCCAAAGTGAGTTGTGTGGAAATACCTTTTCAAGAGTGGACATAACGGCTCTGAGCGGTGGAGAATTTACTTTCGCACGGCTGGCCACCTGGGACAGAAAATTGACAGTTTCAATATGTTTTACAAGATTAATAACTTGTTGGAACAAAAGAGTTGTGGTGAAAAGAAGTTGTTCACTTGAGGACCTACCTCGTCCAACTTGGTGTACCCAAACGGTAATCTGGGGTCACTCTCGGCCACCATTTGGTTCAAAAGCTTGTCGAGATCAGTTCCTGAGCCACTGCCTGCCCATCCCCATTCCTCAGCCAAATGCAGCATTTCTGTAATGTAAAGGGTATCATGCAGAGGCCCTGTCCAGAGGGGGCCAGAAACAACTAATGACTTGGAAACCTGGAAAGTGGTGACACAAGTTAATATTTCATTTGAGATTTAAGTCCAGACATGGTTATTTCACAGTCAAAAGAAAAAACAAAAACTTGGGAACTTGACAAAATAAAATAAGTCATACCACTACATGAATGAGAGCGAGTTTTAACGAAGAAACGCATCCTTGTACCTTTGAATCGCTGCAGGGGCAACTCATCCGACCAAGTTCAGCCCATGAATATTCTTGAGAACTTCCACAGTTGTGGCAGTAGCTGATGAAACCATAATTTCTGTGGTGAATTTAAATTAACTGGTAAGCAACAACATAAAGGCCTAATAAATCACACAGCTTTCACGCATACAAAGTCGTACAGCCCCTTCACCTGTTATCAGGAAGCTTTCCTCGATTTACACGGAGCATGACTCTGAAAATGGGTCCATGATATGAATAGTATGAAAATAGAGGAGTAACTCGATAACCCAGCACAGAAGCTACCCTCACAGCCCCTCCTATAAGCATTCGCAAACCAAGCTCATTTGAATATGGCATAGGTCGAACGTAAGCTCCATATGCAGCTAAAGTTCTAGAGACACAAACAAACAGTTGTCACTTGCCTACTGATGGCAAGACGCATTTTATTAGATTCAAATGCAGTAACATTTTGGCAAACAAGCATAGCAGAATGTGCAACCCATGAATGAAAAATGCAAGGAAGTCTTGTAATTTCAAATGGTCAAGAATTGGGACAAGTTATTATACAAAGCATCAAACTTTAAAGAATCAAACAGAATTGAAAACAACGCAATTGCTAGAAATTAGATGTAACACTTACTGTTGAGGCCTGCGACCACCCGACGAGAATCCATCAGTGGAAGTAACATACAACAACCCATCCAATTTCAAAGCATTAATCGCCGACCTCAGAAACGACGAATCGCTCCCAAATGAATCAATGTCAATCAAATCAAAGAAATCTCTTTTGAGATAACACTCCGTCATGATCCGATTTGCATCCGAAAGTGTCACTGCCCACCTCGGATCGTCGCCAGAACTACTCTCTACCTGCGACAAGTTCTCCGTGATAACTTTCCTGTTATCATCATTTGCATCATTTGCTAAAACAAAATCGGCCTCTGCCTCGATGAGGTACCGAAGAGATCGAATTCCGCAGCCGCACAGTGCATCGAGAACTCGCAATTTGCCTTTGGATCTCTTGTACAGCGCTGCGGCGAGCACGCCGAGGTCGCGGCCGGTGGCGCTTTCATGGCGGAAGAAGGTCTCGCCGATATCGAATTTAAGACCCCTCTCGGTCTGGAACTCAGACTCGCAATTGGAATTGAAGGTTGGCTTTGAGTTAGAGTCTGAATATTGGGTTACAATGGTATATTTTGAGTTTTGGTTTTGGTGTTTTGGTATGGGGTTGCAGAGAAATGAGAAAGGGGATAGGGTTTTAGGAGTGAGAGTTATCATGGCGGGAATTTGTTTGGTTGGGTTGTGGTTAATTTTGGCGGGTTTTAATACGGCACTTTGTGGCACACGTGTAGCATCGTTATTTTAATCGACGGCTGACATTCCATCGGGGTTGTTTCGATGACGGTTTTGGATCTTGCCACGTCATCAGATGGTCCCACACCTTCTACCTTATGGTTCATTGGAGCAGTGGAGCCTTCACTGTTGGCTTTAGGGACTCTTTTCGTTTTGACGGTTGAGCATTTCGCTTCCTGGGTCTGCTATTAGGGTTTTGAATTTCATTAGTGACCAAGATGGTGCTCATGTACTTGCTTGCGTCAAATGGGTCTAACAAAGAAGTGAGCTTTAGCCAAAGCAAGAAGATGAAGCGGAGGAGAAGAAAGAAACCACTTTGACACTGTCAAAGGTAAAACTCTCTGAACTTTAATATTTTGTATCTCTTTGCAGTGAATGCTTTCCAAATTTGCTTATTGTGATACATTTAGCTGGGTTTGATGAATTTCACTGGTAGTTTAGCTATTGTCAATTATGGGGTTGTTTCTTGAACGATTGCAATAGTTCTGTTTGAAAAATAAGAGGTTCCTCCTCTAGCATGACTGTGTTTTCAATAAGCAAGTTAATGATAGATTAATTTTCTGTTAGACACCATAATAGTAAGGTTTCTTGTTATTTGGGTTCCTTTGCTTTTCGGATTGGCAGCTTCCCCAGTTGCTACTTAAAACATCACAATGTCTCGAATCGAGGGTTACAAATAGCCAAATCACAGACATGTTGCTATTCAGCATGTGGTTACGGTTAAAAGAGGGTAAAAAAATTATAGCATTAGTCTTTACAATGCAGAAAATAATTTGCACCATAGGTATGCATAATGCCTTACTACTTGATGTACCTGTAAAACCAAGCAATAGAGCAAGTAAAAAGCAAGAACATGATAACACCCATACCTAGAAGTAGGGTGAGTCTATGTGAATTCAAAGTCAGTTGACGCTTTAATTTTTTTTGTTTAGTTCTTGTCTCTTCCATCATTTTCTCTCTCATTAGCTTTTTCTGTCTTTTCAAGTTTCAAAATAAAAAATTAGATAAATGTGGCCATGGCCGTTGGCCAAGATGAAGTGGTGGAGGGTTTTCATTTCTCACCTGGGCATTTTGTGTTTCAATTTTTTAAGGGTAAAAAGGAAATTAGAGACTAACTAGGAAAAAGATTGGAGCATGTGTGCATTTTTTTGGGGGTTGAAATTAAATTGTCTGAGTATCTTAGGGCCGAAAGATCTGTTTAGTTTTAGGAAAGGATTTTAGGTTTATTAGTTTTGTCCATACAGTTGATGGCGTATGGCTTCAATTGTCATGCTATGATAATGGAAATGGATCTATCCTGTTTTTGGCATTGTAAATAACCAATTTGAGCTGTGTATCAAAAGTATAAGGGTCCTTGTCTATGGTTTGGAGTTTAACTTCAACATTGAAAAGGAGGTAATAAAGGATCAGTAAAAAGAAGGCAAGTAAAGGATCAGTATGCGATAAAATTAGACTCCTCCAACAGAGTTAAAGGGATTTTGAGATCAAAATTTATGATGCAGAGCCAATAAAGAAAAAGAGATGAGGGAGAGAAATAGAGGGGAAGGAAGAAGAACAAAAGGGGTTGCTAAGGCTTCAATTAAATCCTTAATCCAAAATCATCAAATTTATAATCTCTAATCAATCTAATGCCCTAATCAAATCATTAAAATGTGTTTTTCGTCACCTTTCTAATGGAAGAACTTAGTCTATTAAGTTTTTTAATCTCAAATAACATCATTGCATTGTACCCCTAATTAATAGTCGGTTGAAAACGGAAACATGTTGATAGAACACCTCAAATATGCTCTTCAAAGTATATGGGTGTGAGGATCCCTGAAGGATTAATTATAACTCTGCATATTTACCGATAGGGAAAATGTCACCTTTTAAATCTGGAAACTTGAAGTACAAGAGTGAGAGTGTTCTATAGCATGAGAGATTTTCTGAAAACATTAGATTAGACCAAAAGGCTTAAAAGAAAAACAGCCAACTAGGTTAGCTCTTGAAGATGTTACGGGGGAGATTCACGTAATAAGTGGAGTTCTCGAATAGCTTCATGTCTCAAATCATTTTGGAAAAGTGTTTACTGTGTTACTGTTTTACATAATAAGTGGACTTTTCAGATAGCTTCATGTCTTAACTCATATTGGAAATGGTTTATTGCTGTTTTACTGACAAATTTTTAACCTATATACGAGTTCCAAAATGAAAAAAAAAAACCTTTATAAAATCTATTTCATCCCAACTGAGTCTGCAAATTTAACAGCAAAAAAGAAAGAAAAAAAGGATCTTTAGCATGAGTGGTCTGACAGGAATGTAAAAGGGTGTTTCAGCCCTTTTGGACCGTTAATCAATTCCTGTGCAATATTTATTAGATTGGGTCAAAGGATGCTTGAAAGGACAGTTTAAGTCCAAATTGAGCTATTTTTGTTCTTTAGAGTGAATACATTTAGAGTGAAAGGACAGTCTCACTGGCAATAAGGAAGCTAGTTTTCGTTAAACTATACTGTTATAGTTTTTCTTTGTAATGTTGGGTTATGTAACAATTATATTGTGGTCTGTGAGATTATTCACAGATTTTCCCCTAATGGTGAATTAGGAATCAAGATTTTCAAATTGAGTACCAAACTTGAGAATTGTGGCAGTTGATGAGGACTTCGGTATGCAGTGTGGCATATTCGTGTATCCTCCAATTGTAAAATCATGAGGACGACCTCCTGTTTTCCGTTATTTACAATTCTCGGTACTTGGTTGTCCACAAAGTTCAGTTGGTCGTCTCCTTTTGGACAAGCTTCATGTGTACATGTCCAACAGTCATAGTATTTCAGACATATCAGGCACAGACTTTGTACTGTTTCCTCACACCTGTGCTCCACACATATTCAAAGTTTATGTAACATGATTTTCAGGCCATCTTGACTTGCCTGGTCATGGGGCAATTTTAGATACATTCCGGCAGGGGATCAAATAACAATGTGGTGGTGCCCGCCACTTTTGTAATAGATCCCAACACAGTGTTCCGGGAGGAGATCTGTAATCTTTTCTGGTCATGAGCTGGAAATAAATGTAGAAATGCCTTTACACACCTGAGCTGGAGCAACTTGGCAAGGTCAATGCAGCGTAGTTGATTGTGGGCCCCAAAATGATTTGGAGTTTCCTGAGACCTCATGGCATTTAATGAGTGCCCATATAGGTTAAACTGACATTTTTAGTAGGAAAACAAGTGACTGAAGTATTTGGTATGACAACAAATTCTAAATCCCTTTTGCAACCATTGCAATTAATATTTTACTCAAGGGGAGAGAACAGATAGGATTCGTTTTTAATGAGGGTCATTAGATTTATGCATTCTGGGAATTAATTAGGGCAAAGCTTGAAGTGGTAACAATGAGAAACAGCTGAGGATGGACTAGTTAGTACCATATGTGCAAGCCATAGAAATTTTCATTCTTAACCCCGTCACATTTATCTTTTTTGTTAACTTATTTATGGAGGAAGAATCCAGTGTTCAGAGAAACCCGAAAATTTGAGAAAAGTGAGACTAAACTTTATTTGGTAGTAAGTCTTGATTAATTCCCTTACGTTGGGTAGTATTTGAGTTCTCTTAACGCCTAGATGTGTTCACGCCAAGATGTAATCACATTTGTTGCATTTCATTCCTTTGCCTGTCATCATTTTGCTTCTCGTCTGCTTTTTGCATCTCTTCTGCTTTTTGCTTCTAAATCCTACCTTAGAACTTTCTCATAGAGGAAAGGAAACATTTTTTGGTTATATCACTTCTATTCTCTTCTTCTACATATTTTCATGTTTACAGAGCCTTGTTTTCAGATAATTTCCCTTGAGGACGTGATTCTTTTCTGTTTTTCATTAATTATTTCACGATTTATGTTCTCCTATCCTCTTATCACACATGTCCAAATAGCCCCAAAATATTTTCTTTTGAGCAAAATTGCTTTCAGAGCATACAAGGAGTTACAAAACAGAGTCCAAGGATACAACAGATATGGACAAAATTTGCTCGAGTTTTTATGCATCTAATTAGCTGGTTATTGTCTCATTCTGCTGAATACACATACCCTGGATTAAGTTCTACTGATCTATGAACCATTTTATTGCTACTCATCTGCTCAAAACGGCTCTGGATGACAGTTTTTCTGTCCTTCTCACTCTGTTCTCAAGATGTCTTTTGACTAACTCATTTCATTCCACCAAACGGTTCATATTTTAAACTTCTTAGTTCCATAGGTTTATAAAACTGTGTAGACAGTCACTTGTTAAAATCATCACTAGGCAGAGTGTTTTTGTGGGTTCCTGGTTTCATTTTTGAAGAGCTGAAAGTCTCACCTTTTGCCCTTATGGAAGATATTCAAGAGGAACTTTTACCTTGCTCCTCTTTCCCTTCACATAATCCAAAGGCGTTGTCAATTGATGTGGAACTCTGGATGATGGCTGAGGAAAGGACCCAAGAGATCCTTTGGACTATACAACCAAATGTAGGTTCTGAGTGGAGGCGGAGGGGGCTTATTAGTTATATTCAGAGGCTTATCAAAGGTCATTTTGGAACTGAGGTGAGAAGTTCCCCAGGTCCCTAATTTTATTTTCTGTATTTTTTGCTTTTTGGCGCGAAGGAGTTGGGGGTGGAACGTGGAAGAGGGATTGGAAATGGTGGTGAATCCTTCTTTTTTTTTTTTAATGCATGTAACTTTGAAGTCTGTGGGTGAGGAATTAAAATTGTCATCACATGTCAATGTTGATGTGTTTGATAATTAGGTTTTCTCTGATTATGTCTGTATGTTGTCTAGATTGGTCATTCTTAATGTTTTAATATGGAAGAATGTCATTAAAATCATAACCTAAAAAGGGCCTGATTTACCTAGGTGCATCCAATTCTGTGATTAGATGTACGCTCTCCATCCCTAGCACTTCGAAGCATTCCCATTATTTCCTTTATCAGTTGGGATCTGTAAGTGTAGCCAACATGCCTAGCCTAGGTAATATATTTGATTTCCCATTTGCACGGAAAGAGCTTGTGGGACTACATGTATTGAGATGTGGTATGTTGTTACAGCCAAAAGAAGCCAAACAAAGTTGTAAGTGTTAATATGAAGTGACCATTGATATTGTACCCTCCCTGCATTAAAAAAAAATGGCATTTCTTATATGTTGTGATAAAACTCCCCGGTTATATTTGAGTTTTTTTTTTTTTTTTTTGCTGATATCCTTCAATGCTACATGATCTAGCTTGCTAAAGCTTCTTATATCCAGCTTTCAATGCCAATCAATGTAAGTTTGGTGCTTTACTATTATATTAGAGAACAGTTCTTAAAAGTCTTTGAGGCATTCAGAGGTTTTTGAATTTGAATTTGGTTGCAAGTTATATTCTCCTAGTTCAGCAAAAATCTGACCTAAGTTCAGAGAACTTATTTGGACAGCTTCAACCAATTTAATGTTAGGCATCCGGTACGTTAACTGTTCATGTTGGATACACTTTTAGTATTTGGCATGCAAGTGTTATGTGTTATATGTGTATACATATTTAGTACTATGTGTTCTTTCTTGGTCAATATTTAACATACGTGGCCATTTATATCTGGAATCTGATTGTCGCTCGTATCCACGTGTTTCATCCTAGGGACCTCAATTTAATATAATTGACAGAGATGCAAGTTTTCGATCTGTAACATTTAAATACATTCTGACTGCTTATATTTAATAAGAAAGTTCTGATGGGGAGAATCAATGATCAGTTTATTACAATAATTATGTGCAACTATTTTAATGTCCTTAAATTAATGTGAGTTTATTTAACATGCTTGCCTTACAGGTCTTCTCCTTTGGCTCAGTCCCACTAAAGACCTATCTTCCTGATGGAGATATTGATTTGACTGCCATCTGCCATCAAAACGCGGAGGAGGAATTAGCTATAGCTGTCTGCGGTGTCCTTGAAAGTCAACGGAAGGACTCCTTGTTTCAATTTAAAGATGTCCGTTATGTTCGGGCACAGGTTGAGATTTTTAACATTTTTTGTCGTTTGCAATAATTGCTATGCTTATTTTCTATAATCTTGCTTGTCCTTTCAAGGACTAGTTTGCAAGATGGTTGCTGTTTTGTGTGAATTTTTTTGTTGGGATTTGTATTATCCATCACTGTTTAATTAGTTCTATCTTTATTCACACAGAAATTATTTCGATGTATTTGTGCTAGTTGAAGGGAAGCGTTTTCACTGCCTTAGTTGCTTCTTTTTTTTAACCAATCATGTTGCATAAAGGAAGTATTATCATTTCTTACTTCTAAAAAGGGGGCCCACTGTATCTCCCTTACCTTGTTTTTTTTTTGGATTTTGGGTGGTAGGTTAAGGTTGTAAAGTTCACAGTGAATAACATAGCAGTGGACATCTCCTTCAATCAAATGGCTGGGCTTTGTACACTGTGCTTTCTGGAGCAGGTTAAATCTTAACCCTATATATAATATCAAGCTCCGTTTTATTTAAACTAAAAACAGCTTAGAGTAGTAACCAGAGTAACTTTCCTTCAGCTGGCTTGAATTTTTCCATAAAAGCTTTGTAGTTTCACACTATTAATTGCAAATACAAACTTAAATGCACTTGCAATTTCTACATTTCATTACATCAGAATTTCTTTTGTATATGCTACCCGCTCCACTTCTACTTTCTATTCTGATCTATTGGCAGGCTTGGAGTTGGTTTATCCCCAATTTTTTGTCGTTATCTATGTTTAGCCCTTGATTCACATAAATAGACAATTTTTTTATGGTTAAGTACATGTAGTCAGCTCTTTCTGTCCTTTCTTTTTTTGCAGTTTTAGAGCATAATTGTTCCACATGCGAACCTCTTAGATTTTCTGGGGACAGTGGTAAACCAATAATTTTTTTACATAATATCAGTACGGGAGATCTTGAGTTTGAAGCCCTACAGTTACAACCTTCCAATTTAATGTAGAATTCTGTGTTGGGCTCTTCAGTAGCTGGAGAGACTCATCCTATCATCTTAAGTTTTTTGGAGCAGTTGTAAACCAACAAAATATATTAACTCTCTCTCTCTCGCTCTCTCTCTCTCATTTAAAAATTTAATGCATGTGACTTTTTTTTTCAACTGACATGCCCTTATTCAGGTCAACCAACAGATCGGAAAAGACCATCTTTTTAAAAAGAGTATAATCTTAATCAAAGCTTGGTGCTACTATGAGAGCCGGATTCTTGGATCCCATTATGGTTTGATTTCAACATATGCACTAGAAACGTTGGTGTTGTTTATCATCAATCTGTTTCATGCATCACTTCGTGGTCCTTTAGAGGTGTTTCTTTTGTTTTCTTGTTTAATTTCAGTTCAGTATTCACATTTGCATCTGTAAGCACTCAAATGCGTCTTTGAAATTCTATCAACAGGTCCTGCAGAGATTTTTGGAATACTATAGCACCTTTGATTGGGACAATTATTGTATCAGTATAAATGGTCCAGTTGCGATATGTTCCCTTCCGGAAATCATAGGTAAGCTATGATCAATAATGTGAATGTGTAACTGATCTGTTTACACATTTAATGAGGATCCTTTATCTGTATTATTTGCTATAGTGGCACCCCAAATTGAGGCAGACGAATTACTGCTCAGTGAGGAGTTTGTGAGAAGCTCTAGAGATGTTTTTTCAGATCCAATAAGGGCAGACGAAGCTACAGTTCATGAATTCCCAACTAAGCACCTCAACATAGTGGATCCTCTAAAAGACGACAACAATCTGGGCCGTAGTGTTAGTAAAGGTATTTGACCACTTACCTGCTGGTTCAGTTTTCTTTCTCTTTAAGGAAATATGCACTAAATTGTGTTGCTCCTAGAAGGACATCACAGAGGGAAAATCTTTTCTTCCTCCATCGTCAAAGTTACTGTGATTAATTGAAGCAGAATATAAATGAATAATAAAGAAGCCAGACCAATTGGTTTGTATTATCAAAGGATGCTCTAGGAGTAGAGATTTGATTAGATCATACTGTTAACAATTTTATGGGTGAAGCTGTTGTTTAATAGTTGAACCTATGCCCTAGTGCTTGTCAGTCCTCCACTCCCACCATTGCACCAAACCATGGCCCTTATGCTGAGATGGTTTGTACAATAGATTAGTGATAGACACCTTGATTGTTCACAACACTGTCCTTCAATAATTATACCACGCTCTTAGAGGATTATTCTATTTAGAAAGAATTAAGATGATTGTGTTTTCTTAACAAGGTATGTTTTATAACTTATATTTGGTATCTTTTTAATCTTCTATATCCATTTAGATTATCCTTTATTAAAATTCTCTTATTCAAGTTGCATGCTTTTCATTCTTGCGTATAATTATATGTTTACCAGTTCTGTATGTTCATTAACTGATCATGATGCACCTCGTAATCCCCTCCAGGAAACTTCTATCGTATAAAATCTGCTCTTTCCATGGGAGCTCAAAATCTTAGAGAGATATTAAAGCTACCGGGTGAAAGCATGGGTGCAGAACTTGAAAAATTCTTCGTGACCACTATAGATAGGAATGGGAGAGGAGAAAGGCCAGATGTGAATGCTCCTGTCTGTGCATTTGGTATTGGAAAATCTGAAGAATCTGACCTCTGGGGGGAGTATGACAGTTATTATAGTAGCATGTTGTATGGACAGGCATTTCATCGTTCTACACACCACAGTGCTCCACCTTCTGGAGTCTGTAATAAGACCACATGGAATGCCCTGGCTTGGTCAGCGCAGCTCAACTGGAATGAATTTTGTGAAAGGGCAACAAAAGTATATGCAAGACTGCCACTCCGGCATCCTAGTGCGTCCCATCCATCTGCTGATACTATAGGTGTTGGGATAACAAGGAAATCACAAGGAACGGGCACATTTATACCTGACGTGGTATATCAAATTAACTACTGTTTATTCAATTTTAAGTTTTAATTACTGTTGGTTTCTTCTTCCTTTTCTTTGGCTGACTGGATTTGCAATCCCAAAACTAAATACTTTGGGCATTGCAGACCCAAAATTATTCCAGATATGTGCGTCCAAGGATGAGGAGGGGAAGGATTCGAGAGTCTAGCAGTCACGATGCAATGATGAAATCACCTCAAAACAGTGGCCAAGTTGAGGCTTCCACAGAAACAGACACAAGTGAAAATGATAGCCGCTTCAATCTTTCACCTGAAGAATTCCCACTTCTTCCTGGCACTGAAAATGGGTCACCAGAGGTCCATCAATCTGGTCATCTCGTCTTGGCGTCTCCTCCAACCAAGGAACCCTCTCACAAGTTGGGGAGTTCTGGGCATTCACCATCACTATCAGGAATGCCTTCACCTGTAGCGAGCCAGCAGGCAAATACTCATGTTTCATATGCTCTGTACATTTTGAAGAAGCAACAAGAATTATCAGAGGTCAATGAAGAGACGTAGGGCCATTTTTGACCTGTGAAAGTTTCGTACCATAATTTAAAAACTACCGCCTGACCTACCCCTTACTTTTAAATGGTTTAACACTGCAGGATTCGCATGCAGCAATTCAAACTGGACGATGATGAGGACTTTCCCCCCTTGAATCTGTGAGTGGATTTGCCATGGCGTTCAAGTCTCGGTTACATTCTAAGTTCCTAGTAGAGTTTCAAACTCTTTAAACTTGTGTGTGAATGGAGGAGGGGGCCTTCATAGCTTTTGCCTATTCTCCAGGACGATATTTATGTAACATATGTTAGTCGTTAATGAAATGTTTTCATGTAAAAGTTCAAAAGAATTATATAAAAGCAAAAAAAAACCTCTGTAAGTAGGGGCATTTTGTAATCCTTCCCATTATTTCAACAACTGATGGTCATTCCAAATGAGTATGTCGTAATATATACAATGCAATATGAACACTCAGACTAACATCCAAATACTTTCATATGAACAAAACATAAGAGATGGCACTACGATGGCTTCCAAGTTCTGGTGAAAGTTTATAGATTACAGCCATTTACTCTTGCAGAGAATCATCGCGGTGCACTAATAGTTGGACATCACCTCGTTTAAAGGGTGCTTTTTAAGTAAAGGCTAAGCTATATTTCTGAGCGAGGGTCTGGGGAGTAAAAATGTACATCCGACAGTCATGAGCATCAACTTGAGCACCAAACGACGATACAGCATCAACCGCGACTTCTTTGTGCTACGAGAAATTAGGATACTATGTAAGCATAAAACCAAAAAAAATGAAGCCAACTAAATCCTAAACCCAGGCTATCATTACAGCCTTGTTCCCACTCAAAACTCTAGTTAGATGTCCATGTAGGTCAGTTTGCTCACCTCCCACAAATCTCTTATGGAGACGCTAATGCTGGATTGAAGTCCAAGTGCTTCCCAAGTAACTGTTATAGTCTTTGCTTTTGAGCACCGATTCCAAAGAGCAACGGTCAGCCGATGTCCAGATAGAGGACCTGCCCAGACCTGGAAAACAGAATCATAATTAATCACCTAAGTGTAACAAATAGTATATATACAACTAGGCTTATTCTAAAGATCCAAATGCGAAGGGAGATGTAGTCTGCCAGAATACCATATATCACCACATGAATACTAAGTTTTATTTGTGATTTCAGCTCAACCCGATATACTACTTTTCTATGTTTCCAGTAAGCAATTGTGCCACTTTCTAGACAGCCCAAGCAGGGGGACGAGACGACTGTACACTCAGAAAAGTTACGGGGAAGGGGAAGAGAAAATCCCTTCCTGATAAAGCCCCCCCTACCCCCACATATGTCGGTGGGGAGCTTGAAAAAGTCATTTGACCTAAAATCTCTTCAATTAGTCATTTTTATGGTTGCATCATCACTTTAAAATGCTATTGAGGATGCAAGACGAAAGACCTGATAGCAACCATCTGTTCCAGAAACACTAACTTTCCTTCCCTGAACTCCAAGTGGATCTGCAAAAACAAAATAAATAAGTCCTCTCTCATTTACTTTCATAACTTCATAGTTTGAAAAGATTGTGACATACAAGGGTATCTATGAATGAGAAATGAAAGATATGGAAAAATCATACTCCAGACCAATTAGACACACATACACACACACACACACCACACCATGATGCATTGAGTGAGAGTGTGAGAGCGAGCGACAGGAAGAACAACAACTCTTACCTTGGTTTACAGCAATAACCTCCTCGTTGCTTAGAATCTCGAATGTTTCTGCAGTCATGTTTCTTACATCGCAACCAACCAAAAGAGGGGCCTGGATATTTGAACACCCAATTTTCAGTATGTGAAGAACTTGAAAGTATATCAAAATGAGCTAAGCACAAAAAAGTTCATATGCAACATGTCGTATGCTGCCTCTTGTGCCATCTAGAATTAAACTATGCGTTGTTCACATGGACTGAATAACCAATAAAAGCCATTACAAAAATTCTGCTTAATAGGACCGGACAGCATGGTGGAAAACTAATTTTTGAATATGAAATAAAGCAGAACAGAGAAAACAAGTAGTTTCCACGAACTACTTGTATAAGATTGCCTTTTTTGACACAACTCGACAAGACAACAACTAAATCTGAATTACTGGGATGGCTACGCAAACTAGGACAAAAGAAACAGAAGTTGAAGGACCTTCATCAAAGCCCAGATGCTAAAATGAGCACGGTACTCCTGGTAACTCATGCCTCCATTGCCAACTTCCAACATATCAGGATCTGCCCAAAAGAATAAGATGGAGAGTAAGAATAGTATATCGCAGTTGGAGTACTGACACCCAACATATCATGCCTTCAAAATCTGTTTCAAAAAGCTCATGTCTATACCATTCCATCCACCAGGTCCTGCATACGCCGCCCACTTGTCATTCAAATCAGCAATTGTTGTCATGCTTCATAACAGAGGAACAGCCAACTTTATCAGTACGACCACCGACGATTTATTCAAGAAATAGAAACAAGAACTTTTATTAACAGTCAAACTACAGGATCATGTAAATAAGATCTTGCAACCAAACGATGACAGCGAGAAACAACGATTGGCAACAAATGTTGGACATTCTTGTCCAAATTACTGATATAAATCCACTAATGAGCACCATAAACTTGGAAGTATTGAAGCTCTTAAAACCTTTAAAAGGGTCCTCCGAGGGGAAAGCATTTACCACAAACCATTTTGAGGGTTTTCTACAAATTATGGTTTCAATGCGCGCATGTAGAACTAGGATATAACCCCAGAGAGCATCAGGTTATTGTCCACATAAGTTAATGGAGAAAGAGTTATAACCTTGCCCAAGAATCATTGATATCATCTGTTGTACGCCAACTATTTCCAAGCTTGCCCGCCCATAAAGCAGGGTCGTCAACACCCCTGTCAAGTAAAGAATTTCTGAATTAGGATTTCTATCAAGTTAATTGTGAATTAATCCAAATATTATAGTGCATAGATCAATAAACTGGATTACCATTCACAGATTGAATAGAAAATTGTGCGTCCAGATGCATTTAGGGCCTCACGCATTGGGGGGTATCTGGAAAGTATGAAACCAAATTAAATCAATTTATAGCTACTCAATGTGATTCCTTCACTATTAAAATGAGATCAAGAAGAGCTAATACCGTTCTTTTGGCGGGATGCCCAGATTGTAACAGTTGTCATATTTCAAATAGTCCAAATCCTGAAAATACAGCATTACTCCTTAATTATTAGTAATATCCAAAGAAAATGAATGCTTATGATGCTAAAAGAATTCTCAGCAGAACTCATGCATTCCAAACTCTGATCGCAAACAAATTGTTTACTAATAAGGGGACACGGGGGAAGATTAAATACTGTCAAATATCCAGGCAACTCGATTTTGTTTGCAAACATCAATAAGGAAAATGTATATTAACATTGTGAGTGGTTATAAGAAGGCTTTAATTTTTAGTAGTATTGACCCCGTTACTTGCATTGAGGTGAGTCTGTTCTAAATGAGTTTGAGTCTTCACTAACAAAAGGTAGCAATATAAATTTATAAAATGCAGAAGCAGTGTACAACGGTGTCGAATGCCCCCCAAGTCAAAGATATACTTTGAACAAACATCTGATAAAGGAAACATAAACTAACCCAAGAAGCAAACAGCTTTGCATCATCATTTTCATGATAAAGTGATCCTGGTCGAACTTGACATGTAAAAGCCCTACAAATAGAATGGTGATGAATACTGAGGAGGTTGTAATGAGTATAACACAATAGATACTCGAGTAAAAATACATAAAAATTTCAACTTACCCAGCATCAGAATAAATTCCAAGCTTGAGTCCTTTTCCATGTATATACTCAGCAAGAGCTTTAATTCCTGACGGAAATGTTTTAGGATCAGGGACCAGTTGACCCTGCTCAACCAAACAACAACTTTAAGGAATCAAAATTCAAATATACATCAATTGCTCAATTTTACAAGTTTTCCCATGCAAAGAACTTATATAGAAAACTTTGCATATATTCATCTATGCTAATCCTCTATGTGCATAGACATGTAGAGGACAGACGAGTTATAACTACTAGACTGAGATGTAATTCTGAGAAGTTGCATTTGAATCATTAATGCCAAATTTTCTTCATATAAGATGAAGATGGTGCTCCTCAAAGACCACAAAATCAAAAATTGCTGATACAAATGATAGAGACGGTGAACTATATTTTGGTTGAAGTAATGGAATTCAACTGACCTCTGAATTTCGTGTTTGACACCAGCAATCATCTGCAGTCAATGACATTGAATAGCATCATAAACATAAGCATGTATTAAGTTTGCCAAATACTTAAGGTATGCCAGAATAATACCTATATTGACATGGACATAGCCTAAATCTGCTAAGCCAGTTGAGATGAGTGCATCAGCTGTCCATCGTCAAAAGAAAAGTTAGTACTTTCACAAAATTTGATTGAGGATAAAGAATTGTTGTACTTCTTTGGATTGATAGAATCATGTGGGTATGTTTTCCAATTTATACGAACACATATTTACCATGTGCCGGAAACAAACCAACATGAAACCATTGATGCAATAAGGAAAGGCAACCAATAATTCATAAATGGTATTCACAAAGAATCAATACCAACAAAAGTAGATGAACAGAGAAAGCATAAAAAGAATACCTGTTTCCTTGATCACGGTTTCATTGATATTGCAGGCAAAGAAATTCCAGCTGTTCCACCTGCCCACATATTGTACAATATTGATAAACAAAAACAATATACAATGTCCTCAAGTGAAACAAACTAGTCAGAACAATGAAGTAAAATTCCCATTCATATATACAGAAGTTGGTTGAATTGAAACGCAATTGTAAAAAACCACAAAAATTTCCAATTATCAAGAATCTTACTTCAGTTTTTCATCAAAATCCAATCCCAAATGGTGGGTAGGAGAGAGTAGACCAACAAACACCAAATTTCAAAGACTAAAATAGAAAAAGATGAAACACACACTTCAGAGAGAGAGGGAGACGAACCCCATCTGAGGCGTTTGAGCCAAACCGTTGTTAAGTTGCAAAATCCCATACATGGAAGTATCAAAAATGCGATTGAATGTTGGTCTTAGAAAATTGGGTTTCTCATGGGGTTGCAAGAGAGGCACTACTCTGACTGCAAAAGCCAAAGAGACCGCCGATAGAGTGAGAACCAGAGTATACAAAGAGAGGGTGATCTTCCTCCTCGCCATTATTGAATGCTTTGTTTCTGTGTGTTTCCTTTTTGGCTTTTCTTAAAACACTGAGATGAGCCTGTGAATGGGAAGGAACAGAGCATATGTTATACTGGACAAGGAAGCATATACCGATGTGGACAATATTATGACAAGCCAGTTTGCCACTTTGGAATATCAAATCCCTTTTTATCCGCTTAATTTATGTAAATGACACGTCAGAACTTAACATTTTTCCTTCTTTTTTTTTTACTTATTAATTTTTATCCTCATTTATGGATTAATTCCCAATATTTAATTATTTAATTATGCTCCAATCCAAGAATCAAGCATTAAACAAGGCTTATCCACTAAGTTAGTTGTCGTGATATCATGAAAAACAAAAGAGAACGCACTTGATAAGCATAATAAAGATAGCGAATTGGTAAGCTTGTTGTCCACGTAATTCTTCAAAATTTATACTTCTTTAAGCAGTGGATTACTTGGAAAGCTGTCTAAACCCAAAGGTCTAACTAGGCGACTGGTAGGTTTTAAAAATATGGATAAATAGAAGAGATATTTAGTTATATATCTATTTTTAGCACTAATAATATAGATAAATCATATACCATTTAATTTTTATAAACAAACCCTTAAAAAACCCAAAAAATGACAACTGGCCCTATTAAATTTCATTTTGATTATTAAATTACTTTTATGCCCTATTGAGTGTTTTGGGTTTTTTTTAGATTTTGGGGTTGGGTTTGTTTTAAGAAATCAATGGCAGTTTTGTAATTTAAAAGAAGTTAAAAGCGTTTTTGTTATGTTATAAATAGCCTTTTGGTGTGTTTTTAAAGTCCATTTTATATAGGTTTTTTTTCATAATTTGGACTTCTATATTGGGTATAATAGTGAATCTCCCTAAATATAAGGGTTAAATACCTTATTGGTCACTGAGTTTTACACGAAAAATTAGTCAAATTGGTCACTATGTTTCCCAAAATTTACAATTTTTAGACATTCCGTTAAGTGTAGTATTTTTTTTATTTATTTAGGAAGCTCTTTCTGTTTCTTCCTCTAACTTCATGAGTTAGGGTATATTGTGCTATTAGTGTTTAACAAATTAGGGGAAATCTTTGGTTGAAATTTAAATAAGGCCACATATTGGATGCTATATTGAGCCTGAATTAATTGAATGAGAAATGTATTGTGACTTCATATGATAATTAGACGTAATCAAGGTGATAGAACACCAAAATATATTGGTAAGTTGTTGATTTTATTTTAATTTGGTTTGACTTTTTTATTTTTCTTATACCTCATAATTTTGATTACAGCCCAAGATTTTCCCCAATTTTTTAAACCCTAATAGCTCAACATATCCTAATTTGTTGAGTTAAAGAAAGAAGATTGAAGGTGCATCCTATAAAAAATAAAAAATAAAGAACTGCACTTAACGAAACATAATTGAATGTCTATAAATTATAAACTTTGGGAAACACAGTGACCAAATTGGTTTAAAAAAATCTCAATAACCAAATCGAATTTTCGTGTAAAACTTAGTGATAAAAAAGGACGAAATTAGAGGTATTACCGTTTTGTTGGTTAGGTCCATCTTCATCTTTCAATCTTTGGTTATGACAAGATTAAACCCACTTATGCAAACCCAATAAACTCACTAATCCAATTACAAATCACCAATTAGAGTTGAACATCGAAACCAGCCCTCCTCACCTTTTAACAATTGTTTTTCATTTTTGCTTCTTCAAGTCTATGTTTGTTTATTTATGCGCTGCAGGCAACTATCAAAGTCAAAAATGGACAGCAAACCTTCATTTCTTAATCTTTAAAGTAATGAATGACTTTCATTTTTGCAAGAAATGTCAATTTCCTTTCATTTTCATGTCGACTACTGGAGGACTTAAATTGGTTTCACCGTGATTAATTAAGAAAAAAAAGGGGGGGGGAAAGGAATAGATTAGAACGTTCCATTAAGCATTTTTCTCTCCTCTCCTAGATCACTGGCTTTCAACCAAAGCCACAAAAATCTATTTTGGTTTGGACCCTAGAATTTGGAGACCCTTTGGTTTGGTCTGGTCTGGTGCTACGACTTTAGGACCAATCCAACCTACCATAATATTATCCATAATAAAATAATAACGGTTAGGTAGGGTGGCAAACTTAGATAACTAGTCTTTGCCTTTAGATTTTGAGTTTGAAGCCAAGCCAAGCCAAGGGAGTCTAGCCAATAAAAAAGGTTCTTAATTTACAAATAAGAGATCTCATGTTCAAATTCTCATGACATATTGGTTGTGTGTGTGAGAAATCTCCTTTCTATAGTTTGAAGCCTTTAACCCTTGTCATGCATATATACAAATAACGCGCGGATCACAATTGTTTAATTAAATTAAACTAATCTTTCATTAAGGAAGAATGTAACCAATTAAATTCCAACTAAAGTCAATAACACCAATAATTCTTCAAAATTCATGACGGGCGCATGAACATTATTATTTCAGAACAATAAACAAAACCAAAAGGAAGTAAATCAGTACTGTAATTTGTTGTATTCTATGTAACTACTAGAAAAATCATCAGGATATATATAAATGATCCAAACAAATTTAAGAGAATAAAATCTCACCCTTACCCTAGCTAGCTATCTATCTATCTATCTATCTATAATTCATGTAATGAGTATATTTACACGTCCCGATCAAACTGGAAACAGAAAAAGAACAAATTACTTCAAGTATCCGCTGCTAACAAATAGAAGGAACAAAACAAAGAAAGAGACCAACTAAACCAATGACTTGTTGAAATCTGGCTGGTTCTGTTCTGTGTGAATAATGTTGTATGCGGTTGGTTTAGGTGTTGATGTTGTTGGTTCCTTTGCTGGGTCCGGAAGGTGGAGTCGTCCCTTTGGGAAGAAGATTCAAGACCAGCGGCCCATACTTGGCGGCTGCAGCAGCACCAAATCTAGGAGCAGCAGGAAGATGAGAAGAAGAAGCTTGATCTGTATTGACTGTGTGGCATGGAAACACATGCTGATGATGAGCCTCTTCGTGTGATGGGTTTTCTGGTAAAAACACATTGTGTTTGTTGTGTGCTTTAGGAAGCTCGAGGTGATGAAGCTGGTCATTCAAGAGCCTAGCAGATGAACAAGTTGACACAGCTAGCAATATAAGCAAAACGCACAGCATTTGTGCCATTCTTGGGAATAAAAAGGGGAGTTTTTTGGTGTGAAATGTAAAGGCTATTAGGCTAAGCTGAGAGAGTTTGGTGGTGTTTTGGAGAAGAGGGGGAGGTTGATGGGGATTTTATACGGGAAGCGAAGGAATTATTAAGTGTTGAATTTGAAAACCTCAAACTGTTGCTGCGCGTTGCGTTCATTTTGACAATGTCGTCCTCCATGACGTGAGAAGCTCAAAGTCGTAGCCTCATGGACCATAATGTACATTGGCAAGGCAAAGACTTGTGACGCGCTACTACGACCTACTTGGAAGTTTTTTTGGTCGATTATGACTTACTTGGAAGTTCACATTCATATATTGTGAATCACTGATATCTATATTTTTCCTCAAATGGGAAGTTTCTTGCCATAACACAATGTATTGGTGTAATTTCGGATGAGGATACTATTAGTCGGATTGACCAGTACTCTTACTTAGTGAATTGTATATTTTAGACCAAAAATTTGATATTATAAACATCTCACTAGCGATATATATTTAATTGAGACGGAAGGATACATCAATCGTTTCGTTTCTATGCAAATATGGAGGACTGATTTTAACGTTGCTAGGCCCTTCTCCTTTCCGGTGGTGGCGTGTGGGGAAGAGTGAGAGTGGGGGAGGCTCTACAGTTACAGCCAGATTTGGATGGCTACACATACATGTCAGCACAGGGAGGTTTGACCAAGTAAAAATCTGCCAGCTCCTAGCTAGTCCATCAACAGTCCGCGTTTGAGAGTGTACGCGATTCTTCTCGTGCACGTTAGCGTCTTCGCCACACAACTTCAAATTTTATCTTTCTTTTCTACACCCACCGTCACACATTTTCTTTGTGGAGGTTTGGGCCTGACAGTACAGAAAACTGATTACTAGGCCTTCTTCGAAATTTTATCCACACCACAAAATGGTAAAAACTTTATTTATAACGGTGTTATTTCCGTTGCAACAAGAGAGTTTATTCACAAAATGATCCAAATGATCTAAAATTATCCACACAAAAGATAATTAATAAAAGAAAAATTCAGTAATATATTTCTGTATCGCTTGAACAAACAAGCAACAAGGTCTCTATGGACTATGGGTTTGCTTAGACAATTCCACTTTAAACACGACTTGATTGGATTCAATGGACCAGTAAGTCAAGTGTGACCCAATAGAAACAATATTGGACCATGGGGAGACTGACTCTATGAAAAATAAATAAATAAGAGGATTTGGATACATGAGCCTCCCCTCACCTAACCTTTTTTTTTTTTGGACCAACACCTAACCCATTAAATATGTTTATGTTTAGTTTAGTTTGGAGACAGGGATTGGAGGATTAAACCGCGTTGATGTCATGAATTCAACAAATAGTAAAACAAGTTGAAATTTGAAACCTATAATGGAAATTAGGGCTTCCGGTCGATCCTAGTTCCTTCCCAGACATCAATGCATTATGCACGCATTCACACACAATCAAACATGTTAAATCAGCCATGCATGTAATTCAAGTTATTAAGAGCAGTTTTTCACGCACTCAATATGTATGTTAGTATTTTCCTATCCTAATATGTTAGGACTCAAGATCGAACGTTAGAAAAATAGCATATCCTAGAGTGAGCTTATGGGCGCTTTTCCCTTACAAGCATCACTGGGTCAATGTCGATAGAGTGGGCCAATGAGGACGTTGGATACAGAAGTTTGATTGAATGTTAGTACTCAAGATCCCACATTGAAAAAATAGCATATCATAAAGTGATTAAAGAGCTCATGAGCACCTTTTCTTTACAAGCCTTTTAGTCGGCAAATTCTACCTTTAAGTTCTCTTCTAACCAAAAATAAAAAGATCCAACATAAAAATATAATAATAAAAATAGGTATATGTATAGGTATAGGTATAGGTATAGGTCGTTAGTGAACATTTTTAATTTGACGGTGCCCCCATTTTAATGATGAATCTAGC